GCAGCACTTAGAAGATCTGGAAGCAGTGTTTAAGGTTTTAGACGAGCACAGATTACTGACCAAGGGTTCCAAGTGCGAGTTCTTCCAGGATAGGTTAGAATTTTTGGGGCACGTTATTTCGGAGGCTGGAGTTGAAATCAACCCAAAGAAGCTGGATACGGTAAAAGCGTGGCATCCCCCGACGAACATCACGGAGCTGCAGAGCTTTTTAGGGTTCGTTAATTATGTGCGTCGGTTCGTCCCCGATATGGCACGGTTAACTGCCCCACTGACGGATTTACTGCGGAAGGGGGTCGCTTTTACGTGGGGGGAGAAAGAGCATGCTGCCTTCTCTGCCCTGAAAAATGTTCTCTGTTCACCGCCCGTCATGCGCATCGCCGACCCACACCGCCCATTCGAAGTAGTTACCGACGCAAGCGATATCGCCATCGGAGCCGTACTGCTACAGGATTTCGGCAATGGCCTACAGCCTATCGCATACGAGTCACGAAAACTGCATCCGCCCGAGAAAAAATACTCGATACACGACCGCGAAATGCTTGCGATCGTGCACGCGTTCAAAGTATGGCACTGTTACTTGACTGGCGCGAACGTGACAGTACGGAAAGACCATAAATCACTACAGTACCTTCGCGCACAGCCACACCTCAACCCACGACAGATTCGCTGGCTCGATTTCCTCGAGTCCAACTTTCACTACACGGTCACTTACAAAAAGGGAGCCTCGAACATCGCCGACGCACTGACCCGCCCCACTGCCCAGATTCCTGCCGGCGGGACAGTTGCAGCCGATACCACCCCCAGAGCGTGCTTGGCAGCAGGTGACGATGGACTTCGTCACGGGGTTACCGGCCGAGGCGAGTGGGAACGACGCGATCCTGGTCGTCGTCGATCGACTGACGAAAATGGCACATTTCGCAGCCTGCAAAAAATCAATCACAATCGAAGAAACAGCACGCCTCTTCATCTCCACCGTCGTTCGACTGCACGGGATACCAGCCGCGATCATCAGCGACCGCGACACGAAATTCACCAGCAACTTCTGGCGGAACCTGTGGCAGCAGTTCGGCACGCGACTGCAGTTCAGTTCATCATACCACCCCGAAACCGACGGACAGACAGAACGAACAAATCAGACCATGGAACAGCTCATCAGGGCCACGTGTGACGACCCGACCACGTGGGAACAGCAACTGCCACTAATCGAATTCGCGTACAACAACTCGCCATCCGCCACGACCCAACAGTCACCATTTTACCTAAACTACGGACAAGACCCGACAGTACCCATGACCCCGAATTCCGACAACCCAGTACCACGAGCACAACAGTTCGCCGAAATATTACAAGCGGCACGGACCCGGGCAGCAGACGCAATAAAAAAATCGAACATCATCGCTAAACGCAACGCCGACCGCCACCGCAGACCTGTCACTTACCAGCCCGACGACTTAGTTTTACTTGACACTCAGAACCTCCGACTGCCCATCACCCCGAAACTCCGCCCCCGATACTGCGGGCCATTTCGCATAAGCCACATGCTTACACCCGTCACCGCCCACCTCCTCCTCCCTGCTGACTGGTACGTCAGCCCCTCATTCCACGTCAGCCTGCTTCGCCCTTACGTCCCGTCCACGAGCCAATTGCCACGCAATCGCCCAGCCAGCACGACAAGACTACCAACTGAACCAATCATCACCCCCGAGAAAATCCTGAGTCACAGAGTTCGCGACCGTCGAGGAGCCCGAAGGATCGAGTTCTTACTCTGCTGGAAGGACCGTACACCCACCGAAGACAATTGGGTCCTCACCGAGTATCTGCGCAGCCAAAATTTCAAGGATGTACACGCACTTTCGTAAGGAGGACCTCCTTGGGGGGGGGTAGTGTAAGGAAAATTCCTTTTCCTTACTTCGCATCCCTGCTCAACGCGTACATCACTGTAGCACCACAGTCAGCACCGTTACCACTCACAGCATCGACAATCCGCCCGCCACCTTCGCCCGTCGCACCCCGACCTCACGGCTCGGCGGGTAACCCGCGCTCCGGGCCTCCGCTTCGACACTTTTCCCAACCTCAGTCCCAGGCCCGTCGCGCGACAACCACAGTCCATTACCGTTACCACTGTAGTTTCGCTATATATTCTTCGCTCATGCCTTCGCTCATTGTACTCTTGCTTCGATAGTGCAATTCTCGTTCGTTCACTCAATTTCAGTCATAACAAGTAACCAAGGAAGAAAATTCCAGGCCAATCCGCCATCGATTTTCTGTTTCCAATCAAAATCAGCCACAGCCTTCCATGTGGCGTGTCCTACAAGCAGCCAACCATGTCGCACCACTCCCTCTCAGTGCTCCCAGTCTCTTCCCACACGGCAATCCCCAGGAGGTCCCCGTCCCGATTTTCAGGAGGCATTTGAACTGGATTTATGCACGGCAACACCAATCTCCTGAACATTTCAACTTGCATGCGCCATGGCCGCCCAATGTGCATTGTCGACACAGCAATTCAGCTTAGTGTCGTCCGTACACGGCTCCACCACTAAAGCTTCTCGCCTGTCACCTTCCCCGCGGACCGCTGTTAGCTGTTGTTCTCGAAAGGTAAATACCTAGTTACAGATGTACTCTCCCTTCCTCGCCATATCACCCCCTGTTCCGCATCCCCTCATTCCCCACCCACACGCTCCCTTCACGCGCCATCCATTCTGCCGCGAAATGCCTCCGTCGTGCATGTGCCGCAAACCGGTGCTGTACGGTGCGTCGCAGACCTCTCCGTCACCAAGCATCCAGACCCAATTTCCATGTCTACTCTCGCACTCACGCTCCAGCCTCATGCGAGCATCGTAATCCTCAAGTCTCTCTTGCCGCCTATCCATGGCCCCGCCTCAGACCACCCCGTGCCTTCTTCCCCATTCTGTCTCAAAGCCGTTCGCGTCGACTCCCTCCCTTTCCCTGCGTCCTTTCCGCTCTCCCCTCTGCAACGTGCGGTCCTCGCCACTTCCCCCCGTGCGTTCGGCGCCAACCCCCCCCGTTCCGCCCAATTTATGCCCCGTTTCTGGTATCTCATTCCTCTCCCTCTCTCCTTCTCTCTCATCGTCCCTCCCACGAGATATTCCACTTCCCTGAACTCTCCTCTATGTTCGTATCCCGTGCAGGCCGCACTTTCAAGCTCCTCACTCTCAAGTCCTCGCCTCACCGCCTTAGATTGTATACAGCAGCACTCTCCGTCTCACACTCTCCTTGCCACGCCTGCACGCGTCGCGCAGCACATCGCTCGGCGCGCTGTGACCGTGCGCGCTCGCGGAGGCCGCGGCCCATCGAGCAGGCAAGGGGGTGTTAGGGTTGGTTCGCCCAACCACGGAACCTACGGCGAAAGCTTCTACGACGGCGGAATGACGGCAAAATGGAAGCACGTGGATGATTCTAGGTGAAACGGTGGAAATCGGCCTACGGTGGATATTGGAAGCTACGGCGTGAGAAGCGGGAGAGAGATCGGGAAGATACTAGAGAAATGGAGGAGAAGAGTAGAGAAGTATCGAGAATGAGATCGACGGGGGAAACTGTGGTACGAGCTCGAGGCGTGTTCGAGAAGGTTCCAGATTCGGACTTGAGGAGTGTTCGGTGCATTCAGTTCGGTTCCGTGTGCGACTCGGGGTGAAACGAGGCGCACGGGGTTACTTGGGAAACAAGTGAAGTTACGAATCGCATTTTGTGACTTGCTTGACTATAAAACTGCTTGTACTCATTCTGGAAAACACAACTTGGAGATTCTGAAAATTGCTGAAGTGTGTATTGACAACTTCAAGCAGAGCTACGCATATCATTGGATTCGTGAGATCGTGGAGAACACGATAAGCAATAGCAAGTAGACTATTGCCGACTAAGGTGTTTACGATCCTAAGAACTGGTATCAGAGCTTGGCGAACGGGCGCGTCGATCGCGGTGAATTCACTTGGTGCGCTAAGTGAAATTAGTGGAGAAGAGGAGTCGTTCACGCCTACGCCATGGGAGACGAGGCGAGTTCGGGTTCCAGTGTGAGTCTTGGAGACCCGCAGTTGAAGGCTCTTCTCGAGGCCCTTGCGAGTGGCCGATTGGTGGCGAAACCGACGATCGGGCTCAGTGAAGCCCAGCGCTTCAACGGAAGCAACTACAACGTGTGGCGGAAGAAGTTTATTCGGAGGGCAGAGGAGGTTGACCTCTTCCCGTACTACCGTCCCGACGAGGAGACGATGGAGGGAGTTGCGCCATCCCCGACGGATACGAAGGAGAAAATAGCGGCGTTCAAAAAACAAAGTAAGCAAGCGTTCTTTCAGCTTTGTCACTCAGTTGCCGATGGAATCGCGGTGGATTTGGACCAGTTTGCAGGGGAGCTGAACTCTGCACAGAAAGCGTGGGAGTACCTGGAGTCCACGTACATGGGCACGAACAATGTCAACAAGAAGGCGATTAGGAAGCAACTGCTGATGCTGAGCATGGAGAAAGGCGAGAAAATCATCACCTACATCAACAGGGCGAAAAACTACAACGACGACTTGCGGGTGATGGGAGCCGCGGAGACGGAGCACGAGATGATTGACTATATCATCCAAGGCCTTCCTAAGGAGTGGGAATCCGGCATCGGTATGTTTACGTACCAACCGCCGGAGAGTTTGACGAAGCTGCAGGAGATTCTACAGTCGCTTGAGACGATGAAGGAGATGAGGAAAAAGAAAGCGGCAGCAGCAGCTAAGGAATTCGACGAGGAAAGGCCGGCTTTGGTGAATGCAACGAAGGCGTTTGGAGCGTGCTACCAGTGTGGAAAGAGGGGGCATAAGGCGATAAACTGCTACGAAAACCCGCGAAGCAGAAACTACAAGGGCAAAGCGATGGAGAACGATAAAGGAGAAAATGAGGTTTAGGGTTTAGGCCCGTCGAGCAGGCAAGGGGGGAGCAGATGGCGGCAGGACGAGCCCCCCAGGCGGAACAGCGGCGACAGCAGCAGCGGCAGCAGAAACGACAACGGCCGGATGGACCTGGGCGGCAGCCGACGCGATGCAAATCTCCCGTGGGAGAGCGACCTTACCGGGCGAGACAGGATAACGAGAAGAGACGACGTGTGGGGCGGGCGGGGCGTGGGGGAGGAACCACAGTCAAACGACAGAGGAGGCGACTCTTCGTGGGGCAGTGTGGGGGGTAGTGGTGGCGCGCAGGAGAGAAAGGGATGGAGTAGTTTCCTCCCATCGTCGTTCTTCCAGCCGCGGAGGGCGGCGGAGACGGACTCTCTTCCTGCGGACGTGCGCGACCAGGCGATCAAGGGCGTGGAGCAGGCGGGGAGGAGTGGCGCGCGGAGCAGCAGCAGCAGTGCGGGGGGCAGGGAGAAGGGCGTGCGGGTGACGGTGGGGGACGTGGCGGCGGCGAGCGGGCTGAAGGTGACCGAGGCGGAGAAGGCGCTCAAAGCACCCGCGGCTGACGCGGAGGGGTTCCTCGAGGTATGGCGCTGCTGGGCTGCTAGAGAGGGGGGGAGGGTGGAAGGCTTGCGGGAATGGGCTGCTGACACGGGGTTGGTCCGCCAGGATAATGGAAATGGGGGATTATGTGTGGGGAACACAGTGGGAAACCGTGCGCAAGAGGGTGAGTTTTTTCATGTCAAATGGTCCGTGGTTGTCTCCCTCCCTCCTTTCCTCCCTGCCGTTCTGCCTTGGTATGGCAGGTGTCAAACAAGGGTGACGTGGTGTACGTGCTGCCATCCAATCTCTCTGCAGCTGTCGCGCAGCGATCGCTCTGGCTCAAGCTCAAGCCCTGGATCGACAACGCCAAGGTCTGCCTTGCTTCGCCCTGCTTTGCTGTGCTGTGCTGTGCTGTGCTGTGCTGTGGTCAGCTGTGCTCTGCGTCACTCCCCACCCCAACCATACCCGCTTCGTTTCCTCTACCCCCCCTACTCCCCCCTCCGCACTCCCCGTTCCCCACACCCTTCCCTGCCAAAGGTCTTCCTGCCTTGCCTCTCGTCTGGCACACATCATGCGACTTACCTAGGACCCGCCATATGGCTCGCTATTATACCTTCCTTCCTCATTCGGTCGTCCCACATCTGCATTTCTAACCTTGTTTGTTTCAACCCCTCATCCCTCACCTGGCTCCTCATCCCCTTTTTCTTTGCCCTCCTCGCCACTCCCTTCTCTTCCTACCCTCCCCTCCTCCGTCCCCATCCCCTTCTCTTCTCTCTCCTCTCCCACCGGCTACCCTCTTTCTCCCCAACCCTTGTACCCCTCGCGGCCTCTAGTCAGCAGCGTCATACGTGGTGCGAGTGGCGTTCGGCACGGCGCTCCTCGCGTCCATCCTCATCGTCTACACTGCCATCTCCGTCCTCCTCTCCTCTCGAAGGTGCCCCGCCCGCCTTCCCCTGCCTCCCTACTCCACTCCCGTTCTCTCCTCGTCCCTCGTCCTCCTCGTCCCTGCCCCACACTCCTTTGCGCCATCCCCCGTACACCACCCGCACTTACCCTACCCATATTCAAATATCCCCTGTGTGTGCTCTATCTGTCCTCCTCGTCCCATCCTTGCATCCCTGTGTCTCGCTCCTTTCGCAGTGACTCGGACAGTCGGGACAGCAGGGGCGGGGGCGGTGGTGAGGGTGGCATGTACTACCGCTCGGGCCCCACCTTCTTCTTCAACCCTATGGATATCTTCTGGTGCGGCCTCGCTCCTGCCTCTTCGCTCTGTATCACACGCTCTCCCACACTCGCGTTCCACCTTCTCTGGTTGTTCCTGTATTCATCCTCATCCACCCCTTCACCCGCACCACCTGTCACCCTTCACTTACCGTGTTGTGATGCTTCAAATTACCTTTCTTCTCGCCCACTCCCTCTCTCTCTCCCCCCTCTCTCACTATCTCTTTCTGACCCAAACTCTCTTCCTCTGCCCTGCCCCAACGTCCCCTCCCTCTCTTCCCTCCCTTCGACTTCTCCACACTCTCTCTCTGTCACCTGCACCGCGTGCCTGCATGGATCTGTTGGGCCAGGTACTGGGACCCCTTCTACTACCAGCGCATGCGGGCCAGCCTTCAAACGCGAGAGATGAGCTTCTTTGAATCCGTACGCCTCCCTCCCTCCCTCCCTCCCTCTCTTCTTTGCTGAATTACACATAAGTTTCGGTAAAAAGTCGCGTTCTAGGAATGATGGCGGCGGGTATGTTGGGCAATGAGAGGAAGTTGTGAGACGTGTCGGATGGTAAAAGTACGCTGCTCCATGATTGATTTGCCAGATTGCCAACTGCTGCTTTTTCCCATTTCTGTCTGCTTCTTCCACATCTTGCTGGTTTCCTTCCATCCACCCCTTCCCGTGTCCACCCTTCTTTCGCATCTCCATTTCCACCACATTTCCATCATGGGACACTTGGATACACGTTCCAACTCTCCAACTCTCTCCCGCCTCCCATTCTCCCTCCTCTCCTTCATCCCACCCTCTCTCCCTCCATCTGCGATGCGTCCTTACCGTCTCTTGGCTCACCGTGTGTTTTTTGTACCATCGTGCTCGCGCTCGCAGGTGTTCTCGTTTGTGTTTGGTGATGGTGATCCCAACGACGGCAGGGACGAGGCTCGCTGGCAGCTGGTCAGCTTCATTCCCCCCTCCCTACAACCACGCATGCATACACGCACATGCGCTCGCATGCAGATTTGCCAATGCATGGTTGTGTCACTAGCATGCACGACGCACCATGCACCATGCACCACGCACCGTGCACCATCCACCACGTCTTTCACTAACTGACCACCCTATCATGCTGCTAGCAAGAACAGCAACATCAAAACAGACATGAAATAAACTTCAGCACAACATGAAACCTTACACCACCACACCGCCAGGTGGGAGACGTGATAGCGAGCCGAGGTGGTGTGGTGGTGGCTTAGGAGATTGCTCCCTACCTCGACCTCCCTGCTGACACTGTGAGCCGTACCCTTTTCAATGTCTCCCAGTGCAATCCATGCTTCCGTAGCAGTGATCATGGTGTGGTGCTTTGGTGCATGAGTAGCATTTTAAATCACGTAGTATGCCAATTGATGCTACCGGTTTTCGCGTTTCGAATCCTTCAAACTACCTTTGTTTACACTACCTTCCTCTCATGCCTTTGACCAAACTTGTGTGGCATTTGGCATGTGTTGTGGCATGTGGGTGTTGCATGGGGCATGGTGCATGGCACATGGTACGTGGTACGCGTGGTGCAATTTCCAGTCGGACGAGTCCTTTATGCTACCGGTGCTTCAGCGATTCGATGGCAGCCCAGAAGTGGACCCACAGGTGACACATTTATAGCTCTCCCATTCATAACTCTCCCATGTGTAGATGTAGACCCTTCTGTGCCACGCCATCACATACGCACGCACGAGCCAGTTGTGTTTCGATTGATACGCGGTTGGCACGGCTGCTTGCACCTCACCTCCGTTGACTTGTGCCTTGCCACAAAGCCATCCCCAATGTGTGTTTTTTGAGAATTCTCAAAAAACACCTCCGTTGACTTGTGCCTTGCCACAAAGCCATCCCTAACCCCACCAGCAACGAAGCTACCATCGCTCCGTTACCTTGTGCCGCCCATCGCAGCGACCATTCAACCATGACCGCCGTATCTATCCATCCACCCACCCACCCACCACTTCCATACTCACGCAAGAAGGCTAGCATAGCATCCATGCGTCCCTCTTTTCCTACCAACCCAACGCACCTGCGCTGCGCATCCCCTGGTTGTCCCATCCACCCTGCCAGCCACCCATCACTTGCCACTCACCACCCACAACCCATCACCCACCACCCACCACCAACCACCCACCAGCTCACACCCACCATCCTGTACCAACTGCTGTGTACCTGGCAGGGCAACATCCTCTACACCTTCCCGCTACTGCAGCGCACGGCCGGTGATCTTGCAGGCAAGCAGCGCAAGCAGCCCAGCCCAGCGTTGGACCCCGTGCAGCAGACACGCTACTTCGCTGAGAACCTCTGGACCTTTAGGTAGGCTGGAGTCACTTTTGACAAATTCTTTAACAATGACGTTAGCACGCAAGCAGCGCAAGCAGCCCAGCCCAGCACTGGACCCCATGCAGCAGACACGCTACTTCGCTGAGAACCTCTGGACCTTCAGGTACCATGGGCTCGCATCGCGCTTCCCTCGTCACCCCTCTGTTGCCCCTCCTTTGTCCCTCTTGCTTCCTTCCTTCGCCCTTTTTTGCCCCTTCCCCGCCACTCTCCTGCCCCACTCCCTCCCCTCTTTCACCCTTCTCTCACCCCTCTCCATTCCTTATCACCGTTCGCATTCACAAATAATCGAAGCAATGGCAACTTTTGCAGGATTTACAGAATTTTATGCAAGCAACAAATTGCTTGATTGAGCACACGGCGCCTTCCGCCATTCCACCCCCCTTCTCATATCTCCATCTCCTCTCCTCCCACCTCCTCCCTCCGTTCCGCTCGTCTCCTCTCCCCTCCCCTTGCATGATTCAGTGAGGCTCCGGCATGGAAGCGTACGCTAGCAGCAGGGCTAGGTGTGGTGAACGTGGTGGGGGTCGTCTGGCTCTCCTCCCTCCTCAGGTACCGTCTGCCTCTCCTCCCTCCTCAAGAGAACTCGTTTCCATTCAAAATATCTGATTTTGGCCTCGTATGGCATTGTCGACCAAGTGACAAGCCACATGTTTTTTCCATGTTGCTTGCTTCCAGCCAAAAGTGTTGATGTCAGAACGCCCTCTGCTCTCTTAATAGCACATGCTGCTTCCTCTCCTTATCATCCCCTTCGTCCCTCCATGCCCACCTGTCTGTCCATTCCTCCTTTTAGTTTCTAATCCTCTCTACCTCATGTCATTATCGTCGTGTGCACCCATATTTTTTTCTCCTATCTGTCTCTCTACCTGCCTGTACCTTTCTGTACCTGTCTGTGTTTCTGTGTGTCTGTCGTTCTCTCCCCCCCCCCCACAGCGATCCGGCAATAGTGCGGGAGGCAGGAGTGGAGTTCGTTCAGCTTATCTCCTCGCTCATGCCATGGTTGCAGGTAACCCACTCATGCCATGGGTCCAAGTAACACATTCACTCGTGCCCATTCGTGCACCACTCTTTTCCTTCGCACGGCCTTTCCATAGACTTCAATCGTTATGCATACTTGTTTCCCTTCCCCTCATCTCACCTCCCCCTCACCGTCGTCTGCTTTCTTCAGCTTTTCTCATCTTCTTCTGTTTCTCCTCTCTTTCTCCTTACCCTGTTTCTTCAGGGCTATGCAGCAGCTGCGCGCAACCTGTGGCAGGAGCTTTGAGTCGACTCAAAATTCACCTCACCTTTCTTCCCTCCCCTTCCGTCCACCTCCCATCCACCAGGGCTATGCAGCGGTGTTCGTCGCCATCCCTGCAGTGCGCTACCTGTGGCTGCAGCTCGAGATCGCTAATAAGACTTCTGAATTGACTCAAAAGTCACCTTCCATCCTCCCTACCCCTCTCCCCCTCCGAACCCGCCTCCCCATCCACCAGGGCTATGCAACGGTGTTCTTTGCCATCCCTGCAGTGCGCTACCTGTGGCTGCAGCGCGCCAATGAGACCATCGCCCTGCGCAACTCCCGCCGCCAGCAGAGCGCCTTGCAGCTCGCCCAGCCCAACGCTCAGCTCCGCCGCAAGGTGGGTAGGAGAGGATATCATCTCTAGGCGCTGCTGCAAATCTCTTCGAGTCTGTTCTAGGCGCCTCACTGATCAACTGCAGCTCACCCAGCCCAACGCCCAGCTCCGCCACAAGGTGCGCAGGAGGGGGCGAGGTGGGCAGGAGAGTGGGAGGCCTCTGTTCATGCCCTCTCCCTACACGGTGGTAATCACGCTCTCGCTTCTTGTCCCCCCTGCCTCCCCTTACCAGTTGGCATACGCACGGCAGCAGGCGCGCAGCACGGTGGTATCAGAGGACAAGGTGATCTACACCACGGCCAAGGACGTGGCAAAGCAGTCCCCACTCATCCCGCTTCCCTTCCCACCCAAACCCCTCCCTTCTCCCCACAACCCCCCACCTTCCCATGGCAGTTGGCAAACGCGCGGGAGCAGGCGCGCAGCATGGTGGTATCAGAGGACAAGGTGATCTACACCACGGCCAAGGACGTGGCAGAGCAAGACCTGGAGGCCCGCGAGTGGGAGAGGAAGCTAGAGGGCCACTGATGGGGTCACACGCGGTAGGGTAGGGTGGTGGCACAGACAGCGCGGCGACATGTGGCGGGAACATGTGGCAGGGTGGCAATATAGCTATCGTGTGATTATTAATCATTCCTGCTGTCTTGAGGGAGTGTGCGGCAGAGCCACTGGTAAATGGTTACATCACGTGCCATTCAGCCTAACCATGCTACTGCTCCTCTTAGTGACCGACCGCTTTGAAGATCCGGTATAATGTATCTATCTAGTGGCTGTGAGGAAGAGGTTAGGTTTGGTGACTTGGGGTGTGTATATTCAGGTTTGTGGATGATTTGGATTGTCGTAGCGATGTGGTGAGGCGAGAGTTCGTAGTGACCAATGCAGGGCGTTAGTGACTACTGTTGTAGTTAAGTTTGTTTATTTGCTTTTTATTTTTTTTGTTTGACCAGTACCTGGATCCTAATTCACAAATCACTTCTGAAAATTCTGAAGAGTGATCTCTTTCCGTAATACCCCGGATATAAGACCCCCTCCAGTTGTAGACCCCCGGGTCTATAATACGGAGGGGGGTACGCTAAATAGGTCGTTTTTGTTATACCCCCCTAAATGGGGGTTAACATTATAAGACCCCCCTCCCCCTAGAGAATTGGTCGATTTGTTGGCAATGAATGCAAAAACGAAGCACATAGTGTTGACATATTTGACTTCCAAAACAGAAGTAGTATCCTTGACCTTATGATAAGACCCGGCTATCGTTACCCTTCCGCAGGTGCTAGTTTCCTGTATCGCGCCTTCGCCATCTCCCCTCCCTCCAGTCGTTCGTCCGCTGTCCGCTCCCCTCCCATCACCTTCGCGGGTCCTCTCGTCCCTCCTCGTCGCCCTTTCTCCCCTCGCTCATGCTGTCGTCGCCGAAATGCCCCCTTCCATCGCCTTTCATCTCTCCCATCCCATCACACACCGTCGCCTATGCTCTTGGTCTGAAACGCCCTCCCCCCGCCCTTCCTCCCTCCCCTCTCTTCATTTTTCCCGTCACCTTCGCGCTCTTTCACAAACGTCGCATGCGCGCTTTCCCTCCCGACGCCTTGCGCTCGCCTTCCCGTCGCCTGCGCGCTTTCCCTCCCGTCACCTTAGCGCTTTCCCTCCCGTCACCTTAGCGCTTTCCCTCCCGGCACCTTAGCGCTTTCCCTCCCGTCACCTTAGCGCTTTCCCTCCCGTCACCTTAGCGCTTTCCCTCCCGTCACCTTAGCGCTTTCCCTCCCGTCACCTTAGCGCTTTCCCTCCCGTCACCTTAGCGCTTTCCCTCCCGTCACCTTAGCGCTTTCCCTCCCGTCACCTTAGCGCTTTCCCTCCCGTCACCTTAGCGCTTTCCCTCCCGTCACCTTAGCGCTTTCCCTCCCGTCACCTTAGCGCTTTCCCTCCCGTCACCTTAGCGCTTTCCCTCCCGTCACCTTAGCGCTTTCCCTCCCGTCACCTTAGCGCTTTCCCTCCCGTCACCTTAGCGCTTTCCCTCCCGTCACCTTAGCGCTTTCCCTCCCGTCACCTTAGCGCTTTCCCTCCCGTCACCTTAGCGCTTTCCCTCCCGTCACCTTAGCGCTTTCCCTCCCGTCACCTTAGCGCTTTCCCTCCCGTCACCTTAGCGCTTTCCCTCCCGTCACCTTAGCGCTTTCCCTCCCGTCACCTTAGCGCTTTCCCTCCCGTCACCTTAGCGCTTTCCCTCCCGTCACCTTAGCGCTTTCCCTCCCGTCACCTTAGCGCTTTCCCTCCCGTCACCTTAGCGCTTTCCCTCCCGTCACCTTAGCGCTTTCCCTCCCGTCACCTTAGCGCTTTCCCTCCCGTCACCTTAGCGCTTTCCCTCCCGTCACCTTAGCGCTTTCCCTCCCGTCACCTTAGCGCTTTCCCTCCCGTCACCTTAGCGCTTTCCCTCCCGTCACCTTAGCGCTTTCCCTCCCGTCACCTTAGCGCTTTCCCTCCCGTCACCTTAGCGCTTTCCCTCCCGTCACCTTAGCGCTTTCCCTCCCGTCACCTTAGCGCTTTCCCTCCCGTCACCTTAGCGCTTTCCCTCCCGTCACCTTAGCGCTTTCCCTCCCGTCACCTTAGCGCTTTCCCTCCCGTCGCCTGCGCGCTTTCCCTCCCGTCACCTTAGCGCTTTCCCTCCCGCCGCCTTAGCGCTTTCCCTCCCGACGCCTTGCGCTTCCCTCCCGTCACCTTAGCGCTTTCCCTCCCGTCACCTTAGCGCTTTCCCTCCCGTCACCTTAGCGCTTTCCCTCCCGTCACCTTAGCGCTTTCCCTCCCGTCACCTTAGCGCTTTCCCTCCCGTCACCTTAGCGCTTTCCCTCCCGTCACCTTAGCGCTTTCCCTCCCGTCACCTTAGCGCTTTCCCTCCCGTCACCTTAGCGCTTTCCCTCCCGTCACCTTAGCGCTTTCCCTCCCGTCACCTTAGCGCTTTCCCTCCCGTCACCTTAGCGCTTTCCCTCCCGTCACCTTAGCGCTTTCCCTCCCGTCACCTTAGCGCTTTCCCTCCCGTCACCTTAGCGCTTTCCCTCCCGTCACCTTAGCGCTTTCCCTCCCGTCACCTTAGCGCTTTCCCTCCCGTCACCTTAGCGCTTTCCCTCCCGTCACCTTAGCGCTTTCCCTCCCGTCACCTTAGCGCTTTCCCTCCCGTCACCTTAGCGCTTTCCCTCCCGTCACCTTAGCGCTTTCCCTCCCGTCACCTTAGCGCTTTCCCTCCCGTCACCTTAGCGCTTTCCCTCCCGTCACCTTAGCGCTTTCCCTCCCGTCACCTTAGCGCTTTCCCTCCCGTCACCTTAGCGCTTTCCCTCCCGTCACCTTAGCGCTTTCCCTCCCGTCACCTTAGCGCTTTCCCTCCCGTCGCCTGCGCGCTTTCCCTCCCGTCACCTTAGCGCTTTCCCTCCCGCCGCCTTAGCGCTTTCCCTCCCGACGCCTTGCGCTCGCCTTCCCGTCGCCTGCGCGCTTTCCCTCCCGTCACCTTAGCGCTTTCCCTCCCGTCACCTTAGCGCTTTCCCTCCCGTCACCTTAGCGCTTTCCCTCCCGTCACCTTAGCGCTTTCCCTCCCGTCACCTTAGCGCTTTCCCTCCCGTCACCTTAGCGCTTTCCCTCCCGTCACCTTAGCGCTTTCCCTCCCGTCACCTTAGCGCTTTCCCTCCCGTCACCTTAGCGCTTTCCCTCCCGTCACCTTAGCGCTTTCCCTCCCGTCACCTTAGCGCTTTCCCTCCCGTCACCTTAGCGCTTTCCCTCCCGTCACCTTAGCGCTTTCCCTCCCGTCACCTTAGCGCTTTCCCTCCCGTCACCTTAGCGCTTTCCCTCCCGCCGCCTTAGCGCTTTCCCTCCCGACGCCTTGCGCTCGCCTTCCCGTCGCCTGCGCGCTTTCCCTCCCGTCACCTTAGCGCTTTCCCTCCCGTCACCTTAGCGCTTTCCCTCCCGTCACCTTAGCGCTTTCCCTCCCGCCGCCTTAGCGCTTTCCCTCCCGACGCCTTGCGCTCGCCTTCCCGTCGCCTGCGCGCTTTCCTTCCCGTCACCTTAGCGCTTTCCCTCCCGTCACCTTAGCGCTTTCCCTCCCGTCACCTTAGCGCTTTCCCTCCCGTCACCTTAGCGCTTTCCCTCCCGTCACCTTAGCGCTTTCCCTCCCGTCACCTTAGCGCTTTCCCTCCCGCCGCCTTAGCGCTTTCCCTCCCGACGCCTTGCGCTCGCCTTCCCGTCGCCTGCGCGCTTTCCTTCCCGTCACCTTAGCGCTTTCCCTCCCGTCACCTTAGCGCTTTCCCTCCCGTCACCTTAGCGCTTTCCCTCCCGTCACCTTAGCGCTTTCCCTCCCGTCACCTTAGCGCTTTCCCTCCCGTCACCTTAGCGCTTTCCCTCCCGTCACCTTAGCGCTTTCCCTCCCGTCACCTTAGCGCTTTCCCTCCCGCCGCCTTAGCGCTTTCCCTCCCGACGCCTTGCGCTCGCCTTCCCGTCGCCTGCGCGCTTTCCTTCCCGTCACCTTAGCGCTTTCCCTCCCGTCACCTTAGCGCTTTCCCTCCCGTCACCTTAGCGCTTTCCCTCCCGTCACCTTAGCGCTTTCCCTCCCGTCACCTTAGCGCTTTCCCTCCCGTCACCTTAGCGCTTTCCCTCCCGTCACCTTAGCGCTTTCCCTCCCGTCACCTTAGCGCTTTCCCTCCCGTCACCTTAGCGCTTTCCCTCCCGCCGCCTTAGCGCTTTCCCTCCCGACGCCTTGCGCTCGCCTTCCCGTCGCCTGCGCGCTTTCCTTCCCGTCACCTTAGCGCTTTCCCTCCCGTCACCTTAGCGCTTTCCCTCCCGTCACCTTAGCGCTTTCCCTCCCGTCACCTTAGCGCTTTCCCTCCCGTCACCTTAGCGCTTTCCCTCCCGTCACCTTAGCGCTTTCCCTCCCGTCACCTTAGCGCTTTCCCTCCCGTCACCTTAGCGCTTTCCCTCCCGCCGCCTTAGCGCTTTCCCTCCCGACGCCTTGCGCTCGCCTTCCCGTCGCCTGCGCGCTTTCCTTCCCGTCACCTTAGCGCTTTCCCTCCCGTCACCTTAGCGCTTTCCCTCCCGTCACCTTAGCGCTTTCCCTCCCGTCACCTTAGCGCTTTCCCTCCCGTCACCTTAGCGCTTTCCCTCCCGCCGCCTTAGCGCTTTCCCTCCCGACGCCTTGCGCTCGCCTTCCCGTCGCCTGCGCGCTTTCCTTCCCGTCACCTTAGCGCTTTCCCTCCCGTCACCTTAGCGCTTTCCCTCCCGTCACCTTAGCGCTTTCCCTCCCGTCACCTTAGCGCTTTCCCTCCCGCCGCCTTAGCGCTATCCCTCCCGTCGCCTTAGCGCTCTCCCTCCCGCCGCCTTAGCGCTTTCCCTCCCGCCGCCTTAGCGCTTTCCTTCCCTGCGCGCTTTCCCTCCCATCGCCTGCGCTTTCCCTCCCGTCACCTTCGCACTCTCCCTCCCGTCGCCCTTGCAATCTCCCCTCCTATACCGTCGCCCACTTCATCTTCTATCGCTCACGTTCCTCCTTTCCCCTCCCATCCCGTCGATCGCCTCCTCTCCCCTCCCATCCCGTCGATCGCCTCCTCTCCCCTCCCATCCCGTCGATCGCCTCCTCTCCCCTCCCATCCCGTCGATCGCCTCCTCTCCCCTCCCATCCCGTCGTACGCCTCCTCTCCCCTCCCATCCCGTCGTTCGCCTCCTCTCCCCTCCCATCCCGTCGTTCGCTACGCTCTCCCCTCCCATCCCGTCGTTCGCCTCCTCTCCCCTCCCATCCCGTCGTTCGCTCTCCTCTCCCCTCTCATCCCGTCGTTCGCCTCCTCTCCCCTCCCATCCCGTCGTTCGCTCTCCTCTCCCCTCCCATCCCGTTGTTCCTCTCTCTCCCCATCGCAATCGTTCTATCCGTTGGTGATACCTTGTAGCACTTGTTTTTTTTCCTCGTTCTTCGACTCCCTATTTTCTAACCTCTTTCAGCCTCAAGTCCGACTTGGAGTCCAAGGAAACGCCTTTTCTCGTAGCTTTGCCAGGTCGTCGGCCCATCTTCACTCTTATGTTCTGGATAAGTGTGTGCTCTGGATTTTAGCCTGTGTTGTTGATTGATGTGAGTTTTGGTGAAGTTACGATGACTGCTCTCCCGAATACAGGCATTGCAACCTTGCGCCAAATTCGCACAGAAGTGTGTGTGAGGTTATATTCCAAAGTTGGGACACCATCCAAAGTTCCCCCACGCGACTCGAAATGTCAAAGTGACATTTCAATGTTTCCCCACGCGGTCCGAAGTCTGGACACCAAGAAACATGCCGGTCAGCTGATGTGCGAATGATTCGCAGGTCAAAATGCGACATGGACGTTCGGGGAGTTTAGAGATCAAATTCAATGACTTCAACTTACAATCGTGACCGTCACGAACCTTGCAAAATCAGCCCACAACAACCAATGAGCCCATGCTGAATGTTTTTCCCAGGTCGCTCGAGTATATTTGGCCGTTTATTGATTTCGCACTCTGATTGGGCACGAAACCAGTCTGATCCAATAACCGTCAGGCGATTCTGACGAACCTGGTCGCACGCCTAATCTAGTCACATGTCCAAACTGGGGCCCCACCCCACACGGACACCATCCACCCCCAAAAAGTGCTTGCGGTGGGGGAAATTCGATGGTGTCCCAACTTCGGAATACAATCTGAGTTGCGTGTGCGTTTCGCTACCAATCAGAATTGAACACTTGTTCCAACTGTTCCCCTTTCACAACGCGACTCGTATGGAGTGAAAAAATAGAAATGCACAGCACTTCCAACTTTCCAAAGCGTTCCAAAAAAACTTCTGTGGACCCAACTAGAAGGGGGGGGTCATTATTTTAGCTGCTGGCTTTAAGACCCCCCCTCATTTTTGGGGTGGGATTCTTATAATACCCCCGGGTCTTATATCCGGGGTATTACGGTACCATGGCACAATACAAGAAAAACACAAACCAGCCCCTAGTAACCAATGTACAGCGCAAAGGTATTCATTCACCTACACAACACAGCCCACAAGATTTATGAGCAAAGGCACACTGACATATGTGCCATTTTCACTCACTCAACAACAGCCCCCACCCACAACACAAACCAGCCCCTCCCATCTCCCCCACCCCTCCCCCCTCCCAACCATAACCCCCCTTCCCTCCCCATGACTAAAGTGGCTACCAACCTAAAACCCCTCACACAAATCAACCCCCCCTCCCCATTCCCCCCCACCTCCCAACCTCTCTCCCCCCCACTCCTCCCTTCCTGTATCCTTGCTTCGCATAGCGCCACCGCTCGCTCGCCCTCGATTCCCGTCGAGCAAACCGTCCACCATTGCCACTTTCGGCTTCCTTCTCTCTGCATACACGGCTGAGATTCACCAAAAGATGGATTGCACACACACACATACACACAAATGTCACTCCACTCCACTCCACTCCACTCCCCTTACACATTTAGGCACGCAGGTACAAGTGACTTCCAGCACAGATGCACGAGCAGACCGGAGCAGAGAGGGAGAGAAGGGGGTCGCTATGGGCGATGGAATCGGCATGGCAAGCTGTCCACCGCACAGCAAGCCATGTTACCGATCAGAGTTGTAGCACCACGATGCTGGTATTGGCTGGCTGCACCCATTTGGATTGTACCGCCCGCTCGCACATAGTCCACATGCCTGGCCCATGGCTTCATCGCCTGCACAAACCCACCACTTCACCAACACCAATCGCACTGCTGCCACTTGCAGTGGCACTAGTGCCAGCACTGCTGCTGCTGCTGCTGCTGCTGCTGTTGGCAATCCTCAAACTCCTTCCGCTGTGCTAGTGCTCATCAAGCTCCTTCCGCTCCAAGCCCAGCATTTCATACGTGGGGGGAGATAGGGGAGGTTCCTCCACCACCGCCCCCTAAGCCACCCTCACCACCACCACCCAGCCACACACTCCCAGGAGAGCTGACCGTGCTGCTGCTGCTGGAGGGTAGAACCGAGGTGGGTGACAGCCGCCCAGAAGAGGCCGCTCCTCCTCCTGCTGCTGCGGCTGCAGTGGCGGCAGCGGCAGCAGCGGCGGTGGCGGCTGCTTGCATGACGTTCATGCGTTGCTGCAGCAGCAGGATTCGCTGCTTGAGTGACGGACCCAGGTCCGCTGCTGCTAGAGTCGCGCTCAGGGAGGAGGATGCCCGGCCTGCACTTGCTGCTGCTGTTGTCGTGCCTGGAGGGCTTGTCTTGCTGCTGATGCTGCTGCTGGCCTTGCTGGTGGTACTGCTGGCGGCGTTATTGATCGTGGTGGTGGTATTGGGGGTGGTACTGGCGGTGGTGGTATTGGGGGTGGTACTGGCAGTGGTGGTATTGATTCTCGTGCTGCCTGCAGTGCTGCTGCTGCTGCTGCTGATGGCAGGGATGCTGCTTGCTGTTGCACTGGTGGCAGCAGCAGTGCTGCCGGGGTTGACAGCAGCAGCACCCTCTGCAGCTGTGCTTGAAGCGTCCCTGGTGGTTGCAGTACCTCTGCTGCCAACAGCAGCTGTGCGCACTGTGCCTGGCTGGTGCTTCCCTTCCAAACCAGCACTTGCTGATGCCGTTGCTGCTGCTGATGCTACTGCTGATACTGCTGCTGTTGTTGTTGTTCCAGTGGGGTGGGAAGGAGGAGATAAATAAGGTGCTGGCGGCAACAGCGAGTTGGGAGCGGCAGCAGCAGCAGCAACGGAGGCTGCATTAGACTCAGCCGCCCGTCTGCTAGCAGCGGAAACGCGAGAGTCGGTGGTCAGACATAAATACGGTGCTGCAGCTGCAGCTGTGGTTGCTGGTGCTGGTGCAAATGGGTCTTCCACATTCTGAGCTGCCTCAAGACTTGAAGGCATAGAACAAGCAGCAGCAGCAGCAGCAGCAGCCATAGAGGTGGCGGCGGCGGCAGCGGTTGGACTCAGCCTATCCCTCCCTTGCTCCCTGCCTCGTTCGCTAGCCACTTCCATCCCATCTCCCCCACGCAAGTCCCAGACACCACCCTCATCACCAGACATCTCCCCCCCATCAGCTCTAAACCCTCGTCTTTGCGAGGCTCTAGACATCATCCCGTCCCTTCCTCTCTCTGCGTTGGTACCAACAGCAGCAATCTGACGCGGAGAAACAGGCACGGATATGGATTCGCCACCGGTGCTCTTGATTGTTTGCCTGCCATTTGCTTGTCTTGTGGTGCTGCTTGTGCCACTCATGTTGCCACCCGTCCAGCTGCTTTTGCTATTGCTGTTGCCGCTGCTGGCCTCTCCTGCTCTCCCGGACGTTCCTCGTTCCCCTGTTGCACGCTCTTCTGTGGTGTGCTCGTTAGCAGCACTGCTGCCAGTCGACCATTTGGGCCTGCTGCTTCCCCTGCTTGTGCCGTTCGTGTGTGTGTGGCTGCTTCCTAGCTTTGCTGGTTCAGCTTTTTCGTATTCTGCGCCTGCAGTTGCACCTGCAGCTGCCGCTGCTCTTGTTTCTCCTGCTCCTGCTGCTGCCGCTGTGCCTGGAACTGCTGCTGCTTCAGCTGTGGCACTCTTACCAGTGCTACCAGCATCGCCTTCAGCAGATGCGTTGACCTCCCCACCCCCTCGTGACCCCTTAGACCATCCCCTCCATCCGCCCACACGCGTCTCACTTTCCTTCCCACCATATCCTTCCTCTGCTCTTGCCGCCCTGCCGTGCCGATCAGCACGAAGAGCAGCAGCGGCGGCGGCGGCGGCAGCAGTGGCCGCACCACCATTAACAGTAGCATCACCAGCACCAGCAGCGCGGGCAGCAGTAGCAGTAGCAGTAGCAGCAACCGGACTTACACTCTCTCTGTTAGGTGCAGGCTGCTCCCGTCCCTTCCACCCCTCCCACGCCTCCACCCTCGCATCAAACCTACCACGTTCCCCATAACTCCTCTCGTTCACCCTACCCTCGTTATCCCTCTCACTCCTCTTACTCTCTCCCCTTCCCTCCACTCCCTCACCCTCCTCCCCTCCTTCATCCCCACCCACCACTGCCTTGAGTCGCCACCCATGCTCCGTCCTCTCTTCCTCCAACTCCTCATCAACCGCACTCTCCTCCTCCTCATCCTCACTCCCTCCCACCCCCTCCTCCCCTCTCCGCCTCACCCGCACTCGCCCCATAGAGTCACACTCCTCGCCATCACACGAGCTCTCGGACCTCTTTTGAAGCACAGGCTCGAACAGAGAGCTCAAAGCGCCCTGGCACTCCTCCAAACTGCTCCTCGCTCCTACTTCTCCTCCTCCTCCTCTTACTCCTACTACTACTGCTCCTGCTGACGCCTGTCTCACAAGCCGCCTGCTGCTGCTGCTGCTGCTGTTGCCACCACCACCACCACCACCAACGTGCTTCCCTCCCTCTACCCTGTCCCCACCACTCCCTCCGCCTAGTCCTCGCCCAACCCCAGCACAACCATCCGCACCACCCTCCGCTCCCCCCCACCATCCGCCACCACCCACTCCCCCTCCCTCCTCACCACCGCCACCGCCATGCTTCCTCCCTTGCAACCCCTCTCTGAAGCTCCCTCGCAAGCTCCCATGCAGGCTGCCATGCACGCTCCCCACGAGGCTCTCTCTCAGGCTGCCCGGGAGGCTGCCCTGGCTGTGCATGCGGCAGAACGCGTCAAGCCCGAGGTTGTCGCTCCCCTGGTGCACTCTCACGCGCATCTCCTCCGCGGCTGCCTCTGCTGCTGCTGCCTCTTGGGGACTCTTTAGCCTCCGCATCATGCGCGCGCGTTCCCTCTCCCTCTCCCGTTCTTTCTCGAGCATCCGCTCTGCAACGCGCCGCCCTCGATCCTGCTCCCGCTCTCTTTCCCTCTCCCGCTCGCGCTCCCGCTCTCTTTCCATCTCGCGCCCCCTCTCCCGCGCACTCTCCCGCGCGCTCTCCCGCGCACTCTCTCGTTCCGCCTCCTCCTGCCGCTTCCGCTCCTCGCGCTCTCTCTCCCACGCCTGCCTCCTCTCCCCCTCCCTCTCCTTCCGCCCCCCCGCGTCTCCCCACCCCCCCAGCTCTCTGCGCGCGGAAGAAACGCCGGACGCGGGGGAAGGGGCCCCGGATAGGGAGAGAGGAGGAGGGGGCGATCCGGCAGCGGTGGAGGGATGATTGGCGGAGAGGGGAAGCGGAGACGGGGAGTGCGGATGCGGAGAGAAGGACAACCCGTGGAAGGGTGACACCGATGCTGACACTGATGCCGATGCTGATCCTGATGCCCCAGCTGCAGCGGAGGAAGAAGCAGCATGGTAAAGGCGCCTGGGGATCCCCCCAGACGCCTGCAATGGCGGCGACAACGACGCCAGCAACGGTGGCGGCGGCGGCGCTTGAACAGCGAGAGCAGGCGGAGCAGGCGGAGCAGGCACGGAGGAGGAGGATGATGGCGCGTTTCTTGCCGGCGGCGCTGCTGCCTCTGCTGTACTGGCACCAGCAGCAACACCATTAGCGGCAGTAGCAGCGGCGGTGGTAGAGTCGGCGGTGGTAGCGGCGGCAGCGGTGGTAGCACCCCTGGGGTGTGAGTGCAGGCGTTCCAGGTGCTCTATCTTGTGCTGCAGTGCTGCCAGCATGCTCTCCGATGCCTGCACGGGGACGAGCGACACACGCAGGGGAGAGTGCGCGAGTGTGTGAGTGGGTGGGTGAGTGAGTGAGTGAGTGAGTGAGTGAGTGAGTGAGTGAGCGAGCGAGTAGGCGAGGGCGAGAGGGAGCAAGAGAAAGAGCATGATGCGGACGAGGCGATTCAAATAGAGGCGACTCACCTTGCCCTCCATGCCGCGCAGTCTGCTCCGCAGCTCCTCCGCCTCTCTCTTCACCGCCACCAGCTCCTCCCTCTGCGCCTCCGCCTCCACTTCCGCCTGCGCCTGCGCCGTCGCGCTCCCCTTAGCCCCATACGCCACCCCACTGCCGCCAATCTCTCCGCCTCCGCCAGCGACTCCCCCAGTGCTCTCGCTAAGCCACCTGCGCCTTTCTCTGTTCGCATTCCCCGCGCGCTGCTGGCTCCGCCGCTCCTCCGCCGCCTCCTCCGCCCTGCGTGCGTCCGATCTTTCCGCTTCCGCTTCCGCCTGCGCCCGCGCCCGCGCCCGGCGCGCAACCTCCGCCTCCGCTTCCGCCTCCCGCTTAGCCGCGAGCAGCCCCACTTCCGCCTCGCGCTTCCCCGCAACAAGCTCCTCTATCTGCAGCAGCAGCGCCGCCTTCTCCCCTTCCGCCTGCAGCGCGCGGCGCTCCATGTCCGCCAGCGCCGCGGGGGGGGACGGCGGGCGGAGCGAGGAGGTGGAGTGGGGGAAACCGCCGCGCGCGGAGTCGGAGGTGGCGGAAGAGGAGGAGGAGGAGAAGGAGGAGAAGGAGGCGATGGAGGGCGCGGGGGAGGAGTTGGTGGAGAGGTTATGCGACTTGGCGCGCAGCTCCTCTTCCAGCTGGGAAACTGGGGGTAGGGAGGCAGAGGGGGAAGGGAACGGGGGGTTGGGGGAGAAAAAGGGGGGCACGCACGGGGTGGGGGGAGGCAGGCGCGAGGAAGGTAAGATTATGAGGCGAGGACGGAAAGAGCGAGGCTGGCGAAGTAGAGGGGAGGGAGAAAGGTGGGGACGTTTAGAACAGAACAACAGGGGACGAATAAGTGGAGGGGTGAAGCTCGGGCAAGGGCAAGCAAAATGGTTCGCATGGGAGTAAGAGAAGGGGAGGGAGGGGAGGAGGTGGGGACGGGAAGAGAGGGGGAGGGAAGATGCGATTGAAGAGAGGAAAGACATGAGAAGTGATAGTGGAGAGCGGAAGGGGAATAGGGGTGGAAAACGAAAAGGGCAGGATGGAGCAGGGGGGAGGAAGGAGATGGGAAGAAAGGCAAGAAAGAGCTCAGCAGGAAGAGGTCGGGAGGAGGAAGAGAGATGGAGAGGGGGCAGAGGAGGGAATACACAAGTCGACAGCAGCGGATGCAGCTCGTGCCTACCTCTGGCTTTAAGATTGGCAATAGTGGTGATGAAAACACTCTGGTTGCTGGCAGCAACAAAGAGCCCACATGTCGCACACCTCCCATCACCACTACCAGCAGCAGCAGCAGCAGCAGCAGCAGAGGTGACACTGCCACTGGTCACACCACCACCAGCAGCCTTAGCGGTTGTGCCGTCCCCCCCAGCAGCAGGCTTGGAGGGGCAGGAGCAGAGAGGCAGCTTGAGCGCGGTGTCACCTGCCCCAGATCCGCCCTCCCTGGCTGCAACAGCCGCTGCTGCCATGGCTGCCACTGTCTCTGATGCCTCCAGCAGCCGCACCCTGTCCCTCAGCTGTAGCACCTGGGGAAGGAAGGGGTTGGGGAACAAGGGGGAATGGGGGAGGGGGAGGACGGTTTGGATACGGGGGGGAGAGAGGCGTGGGGAAAAGGCGGAGGTGGAAGGAAGGGGAGAAAGATGCGAATGGAGAAGCTGTGCGGGATACAGGTGGAGAGACAGGAGGGAGAGTTGGGGGGAGGAGTTTAAATCAAAGACTCTACAAGGTCACTCAGCACAATAGCAGAAGAAAAAACAGCTGAGAAGAGAGTGTACGTGTATGTGTATGTACATAATACCAGAGTGCTAGGAACAAACTTCAGAGCTTAGAGTCGACGTATCCACTCCAAACCCCCAAGAAGAAGCAAGCTTAGCAACTGGCTCTCTGATAGCCTCACCCACACAACCAACACCAACACCAACACCAGCACCCACACACCCGCTCACCCCACCCAAACCCGCCTACGCCCACACCTATACACCCCACACACGTACACAGCACCCACGCGAGCAGCGCACCTGGCCGCGGAGGCGGTTGGCAGCGCTGGCCTCGTTCTGAGTGTGGCGCCAGGCGCGGTGGGAGAGCGCCGCAATGCCCTGCACGTGCACCTGCATCACCGCTGCTGGATGCACCACACTGCTCAGCAGCACCGCGCCCTCCAACACCCCGCCCAGCTCCTCGCACCACCCCCCCACCTCCACCTCCCCTCCCCCTCCCGCCCCCGCTCCAGCGCCTGTTCCCCCTCCGCTAGCGTCTCCCCCCCCGCCCCCGCCCGCCGGCTGCGCACGCGCCTGTGCGCTGGCAGCGGGGGAGGAGGCGTGGGGCGCGGAGAGAGAGGAGAGGTCCGGGGGCATAGCCCATACCTCGGTTTCCTGGAAGCACCTGGAAGAAGCGCGACGAGAAGGCGGGCGGGGAGTGGGAGAAAGGGGGGGAAGAGAAAGCGAGGGAGAGGGTGCGTGAGAAGAGAGTGAGGAGAGGGGGAGGGGGCAAACGGGATGGGAAGATTCTGGCTGGAGTAGTAATGTTTACATGGGCCTATCGCTCTTCTCACCATCCCGCGAAGTAGTGCGCGGAGGTCGGCGTGGCGGTGGCGGAGAGGCAGCGCCCGTCCGCGGCGACGGAGCGCAGCCCCACGCGCCCGCCGCCGAAGCACATCAGCACGAACACGCCCTCCAGAGGCACGCCGTCGCACGACGACCCTGACGACGCCTGCGACGCTGGCGAAGCTGACGACGACGATCCGTTGGTGGTGGCCCCCGCGCTGTCCGCTCCGCCAGTTCCCCCGCCTCCTGCTCCTCCGCCCGCCCCGGTGCGCGCGCCTGCGCCTGCGCCTCCCGCGGTGGCGGCATCCGCAGACTGCGCGGAATTATCGAGCGGCGGCAATGGCACCGCGCCGAGCTCCCAGCTGCGAGGGAAACGCGCGGAAGAAACGAAAGAGAGAGCATGAGATTAAACGGTTGTCAAGACGTGGGGAAGGCATGGGGAAGAGGGAGGCAGTAAAACAACCGCCTAGTCTCTCGCCTCGCCACTCTTGCTTCAATCTGATCTTTCAATCTCACCGTCCGTTCGACTCAACGGCCGCCAGGAGCTTGTCCTTCCCCCACCGCAGGCACACCAGCGCGCCGTGCCGCAGCACCGCCGTGCCCGCGCGCCGCGTCGCCCACGCGCGCGTGCGCCCCATGCGGTAAAACGCGTTCCCGTACGCCCCGCCCATGCCGCTGCTTCCGCCCAACCCTCCGCCAACCCCTCCGCCCATTCCGCTCCCGCCGATACCCTGCTCCCCTCCGGCCGCCGCGTGTCCCGCCACCCACTTCCGCGCCACTTCCCGCCGATCCACCATTCCGCCTCCGCCGATCACCCCTCCCCACGTGACCGCACCTCCCCCTGCCGCGCCGCTGCCGCGCTTATCCGTAGGTACACCTCCACCAGGTACGACCTTGTCGCTGCCAGCAACGCTACTAAGCCGGTCGTCTGTAGGGTCCCAATTGGGTAACGGATCTTCGACCCCCCCAACCGCCACTGCTGACGTGGCACTGCCCATGGACCCCGCCATAGCCGTCACCGCCGGACCGCCTCCCAAACCCGCGCCGCCTGCGGAGTCCAGAATCCATGTCTTGCTGATGCTTCCGCCTCCCGCCATTGCTGCTGCGTCGACTCTTCCTCCTGCCGCCGCCGCCGCCGCCGCCGCCGCTCCCGCTGCTGCGACAGCGGCCGACGTGCTTCCGACGGGTCCGACGTTTGTTGCGCCGCCGGAACTGCCGCGTGGCCCTGCTGCCTTCGAGCCTGCCGGTTCGGATAGCACGCCGCTTGTTGCGCCTGGAGCTGCGGGTGCTTGTGGCTGTGCTGCCGGCCCTGCCGCCGCCGACGCCGCCGCGGTCGATAGAGACGATCCTGGCGCGGCGTGGTACGGCACGTACTGATCGGGGGGCTTCGCCTCCTTCCTTTGCGGCGTGGTTGCCATGTGTCCCGAAGCAGCACCTGCGCGCTCGTCGCCGCTCGGCGCGCTTGCATTGGCGCTGCTGCCGCCGCCGGCACTCGGCGGGCAAAAGGCTACGCGGAAAGAGTGGTGTGGAGCGGAGGTGGCGGAAGGCGAAGCGGACGCGCTGCGCGGGGAAGCCGCGGAGACTGACGGCGCCGCGGATTGCCGCGCGGGGACACGGATGGGGGGAAGTGCAATAGCTGGGAGCGGAGCGAGCGGAGGCGACGCGGGCTTGGATGGCGGGGAGGTGACGGCGGAAGGCGGAACGGCATCCGCTCGAGCAGGCGCGCGAGAAGATGCCGATGATGACGTGGCAGGCGTGTTGTTGCTGATGCTCCCCACGCCGCCTGCCACGGCGGCAGCTGCGAGCAGCGCATCAACGGACGACAGCAGCCGGCGCTGCGCAGAGGAAAGCGAGTGCGTTCTGGCTGGCGGAGCGGCGCTGGCGGAAGCGAGGGGCGCGGGAGGAGCGGCGGCGGAGGCGGAAGGGTACTGGTGGTGGTGGTGGTCGCGGGAGCGGAGGGCGGCAGCGGATGATGAAGACGGGGAGGATGGGATTCCGCCCCCGCCAACGTTGGCGCTGCCGCCGTGCCCGTGCGGGCTGTAAAAGTGCAACCCTTGCGCTCCTCCTGCGCCGTGCGCATGCGCCGCTGCATTAGCCGCTGCTGCGGCGCGCTGACCGGCGCTGTGGCTGCTGGAGCGGGCATACGACGGCGGCGCGGCTAGGACGGACGGCTGCGCAGCATACCCTGTCGCGGAAGGTCCTCCCATTCCGCTTCCGCCGGTGCTCGCGGGCGCGGGAGGCGCAACGGCGCTGGCGACGGTGATCATTCCGGGAACTCCCCGCGTGGGGCCAAACGCTCCCCCGACGAAGTTCGCGCCGGTGTTGGAGGCGGAAGATGCGGACGCCCGCGGAGTGCCTGGACGAGCGGGGATGGGGGAGCTTGGGCGCGAGCCGGAGCCTCCGCTCCCGGGAAACACGGGCAGCGCGTAGGGGGAGCTATGGCGCGGAGAACTGGGATGAGAGGAAGCGGGATTGGGGGAGGAAGGCTGGGGGTAGCTGTGCCGGGGGGAACTGGGAATAGAGGAACTTGGGCGGGGGGAGCCCGACCGGGAAGGATCAACATTGGCGGAAGGGGTGAGGGTCATGGGGTGCGAAGCCGGTTGAGCCGGATGCTGAGAGCGGCCGAGTTGCGGGGAGACGATAAGTTGCGCCAGCTGCTGGAGATTGGATCGGCGGGGAGTTGTCGGAACAGAGTGGGAGGAGGAAAAGGAGCGCACGGGGGAAGAGTGGCGCGGGGGGGCTGCTGGGGGCATGAGGGATGCTGGCGGACCCATGGGCGCGGCAGCGGAGGCGGCGGAAGCCGTTGCGCTGGAGGCACTTGCGGCAGCGGCGTGAGCGTAGGCGGAGGAGGAAGAGGGGGAAGTCGCGCGGGCGGAGGAAGAGGATGAGCGCGGGGAGAAGAAAGAGCCCGCGGAGGGCAGTGAGGGGCGGAACATGCTGCGCGCAGACACGCGCGACGGTGCAGGTGACGCAGAGCGGGAGAGAGCCATTTCAACACACGGGCGGCTGCGTGAGGGGGGGAGCGGGGAAGCGGGAGGCGGAAGCAAGGCAGAGACGAGGCGGGCAAAGGAGAATGCGTTGTGAGAGGAAGCAGGGCAGGGAAGGAACTAGGAAGAAACGGGACTTAAGCTCATTCATATTGCATGGGAAGGGGAGGATGTATGGAGAAAGGCGAACAGGGGGGAAAAGGCATGTGGAGACACGTGAAGTACGGCGGAGGTTGCGCGCATTGCGAGAGCGACGTTGGGGGCGCACGCAGCAACTCAACGCACCTCGCAGACTGGCTGTCAAATAACGTGGGTGTATGCTCAAACACATGTGGGGATACAAACATATATACCTGTCAGTTCACAGCTTCACCTCAGTAATGGGTCCCTCGACCTTGTCTATCCGCGCCTCGCGTGGACTTTCCTAGACGAAAAGTTCTACGGACGTCTCAACGATAGATCATGTTTGCGGGAGCAACTTCGCATGGACTGACCTCTTTGTTCCTGTGAACAAAGCCGGAAGAGGCACGCCACGTCACACCATGCCAGCAAGCGGGCGACGCTGAAAGCTCAAAACAACTGGAACTGGCCACTCACAAGTTATGTAAGATCCAGCCGAGTAGATTCGGGCATCAATTCGTCGACTATCGCGAGCAGGAGCCGTTTATTAGCAAGTCAGCGGCAGAAGCAGAGTTCACCCAGTTTCCACGAGCTGTGGAGGGAGGAGCTAAAGGAGGAAGTGAGCGAGCCTGAAGCAGAACGAGCAGCAGCAGGAGAGAATTGCGGCGAAAGGTGATGGGTGACCGGACGGATGGGAGAATAATCGCCTAATGAGCTTCGTGATCCAAATACGTCTCCTCGTTGCGGGAGTTAGTGCCTTCTCTCCGTTGATATTTTGTGAAGAGACGCACGGGATGTTCTCCTATGTGAAACGAACGCATGGAGAGAATGGCCCATCGCTCCAACTAAGCGCAACCTCTCGGTTCGCCTTCTTGACACTCTATTAGCAAACAACTCGCAACAACGCCTATCGCGGAAAGTTCTCGCCATCTCTGCTTCTCTCTTCGTCCCCTACATTCGGGCTGCTCATAGCGAACTGGCGAGGGAAGGGATTGGTTGGACGGGGACTAGCAACCAAACAAGATAGGTTGACGTTGACAACGGACTAGCGCTAACAGCGCAGCAGCATCGTCTGGTGCCATGGCACGGTTGCACTGTGTGGCCTGGGATGGGGCGCGACCTGCTCAATGCTTGGAAACTATGATCGAAGGTTGAAAATATTAGTGACAGTAGTCAGGACAGGACCAGTGAGGAAGAGTTGAGGGGCAGACAAGCAGTGTAGCCTAGCTAGCATGGAAGCAAGCATGTTGCGCCCGAGGACCACGGGGAATTTTGGGTGGGCCGATGACTGGATGATGGGGTGAAGGAGCTGCTTGAATGACTCTCTGGGGCCTGGGCGGGGCCGATTGAATGGGCTCCATGCAGGGCGCAACTGCAGGTACAGTGGTGGTCAGGGCAGGGTATTGGCTGGACATGGGGCGAGAGGCGGCGGGGGTGGTCGTAGTGTGAGTCGGCCCTGGCAGGTGGTTCCGCCAACAGCCGAGAGGGGCGCAAGGGCAGACGAAATACAGTAACGCCTTTCGTTGTCCTTTCAAGGGGTTGTATATGGTACGGCCAACGAGTGGGGTCGGGAATCGGGATTGCAGTGTGTGGCACAAGTGTTCTTGTACCACTCGCCAAAGTCAGACCAATAAGGTGCACAATAAGGGTCTCCCACGAATGAGGGCTGGTTGCGACTCGTAGTTTCTTCCAATATCGAGCGCTGCAAACCAGGCTATCGGTACAAGGAAGCGCGCTTCCGCTGCAATGCATTTGCGACTCGGTGGCCCGTGGCGCATCCCCGCGCACCAAGAAACTGTTGGCACGCCACGTAATCTGAGAGAGTGCGGCCCGGTGTTGGGGCCAAGCAAACCGGCCACGAACAATTGCTTCCGTGATGTCGAATTGCTTATGTGGAACTTCCACGTGCTAGATGCTAACCTCCACACGACTCCTTCGAGGACACGGGAGTGGTGGTTGGGTAACTGGACTGATATGTGGGCATTCAGATTAAGGAGAAAGAAACGGAACAAAAAAAAAAAAAAAACAACAACAACAACAACAACAACAACAACAACAACAACAACAGAAGTATCGAGTTTGCTAAGCTCCTCGGATACAAACAGTGGTTGCTGGTGTGAAGCAGATATTGGGTGTGGACGAGTCTGGGAATCTCGCGCTATATCTATACTTTCAACTACATTCTCGGGCAACTTGCCCACGTGAAATGAAACTGCCTTCGAGGTAGTCAAGCCCACCAGACTAGAAAAATACTCGTTGCAACGAAGAAATTGAGCCTGGCTGGTGCCAAGTACAGTCGGGTAAGAGCACGAACAATGCATTAACAAATACAAAGGTAAACAAAGGTATAGCAAAGGAAGCCTCCACACTATTCATGGATAAAATAGTGAAATGCCACAAGAGGTGTTCATGTGTGAAATGCCACACTATTCATGGATAACAATAGGTGCTCGTATGTAAAATGCCACATAAATGACTGCATTATAGTCCAAAATTGTCTAATCAACCGGGTCGCACTCACGAATAGGCAATGGGAAAAAGTGAGTCAGCATAACAGAAGAATATTCATGAATATTCGTGTTGCGATAAGGAAATGTATTGTACATTCTTGTACGTGACAGAAGTTCCCAATAACGAGGATAAAGACGAAGGGTCGAGATGAACTGAAGACCCACACTCCAAGGCCCATGCTGCGACTTGGCAAATGACCCTTGAATCGATCTCATCTTTGGGAATGAAGCGTACTGTTATGAGTTGTATGAAAGAAGAGTGCGCAGAATGCAATATCGCGGAAGTGATTACAACTACTCAGCAAACAACGAGGCCTAGGCATAATATAGCACAGCTAGCTAGGCCGAGGTCGCGGAGTCGCGCGAAGGTTGGGTGCAGGTTTGGGGTCGGGAAATCCGAGGGCGACGCGGGAGACGTTCGGAAGGCGAGGTCGTCGGACCGAGCCTGAATTCCGAAAGTTGGAATTTTACGCGTAAGAGATGCCTCAGTAAGGAATTAGCGAAATTCCTTACACTACCCCCCCCTTTAAGAAAGGTGGTCGATATCAGGCACATGTCGGCGAGAAAGATACTGCCGAAGTACCGAGTGCCCTTGTAGTGAGTCAGCCGGGACCCATGTGTCATCTTCGCTTGTGCGATCCACCCAGCGTAGCAGGAAGTCGACGTGGCGTCCGGCGGGGGTCGCACGAATGCGATGGTTCAATATCTTCCAAGGTTGAAGCGTCGGGTCTGCCACAGGTCGGACATTTGGCGCCTGGTGGGGTCGGGCGACGTCGGACGACTGCGGTGCCACATAGTGGCGAAGTAAACTGACGTGGAAAGCGTCGTGGATTTTCCAGTCGTCCGGTAGGAGAAGTTTCGCAGTGACCGGTGTCAGCATCCGAATGATGCGAAAGGGTCCCACGTAGCGGGGACGCAGTTTTGCAGGCTGGGGCAGCTTGAGGTTTTTTGTGTCCAGGAGGACCATCTGCCCGTCACGGAAGGGTAAATTCCGTCGATGTCGGTCGGCGTAGCGGCTGGCGGCCGTATTAGCCTTCCGGATAAATTCCGCTGCTTTGTCTCGCGCTGCTTGTAGTTCCGAAACAAACTGTTGCGACCTTGGTACCGGGTTATCGGGAGTTGTTGACGAGGGTACTACCGGATCTATCCCGTAATTCAGGTAGAACGGCGATTGCTTGGTCGTTGCAGATGGGGCGTTATTGTACGCAAACTCGAGCATGGGAAGGGAATCCTCCCATTTGGTGATGTCGGGGCAGTTCGTGCGAATCAACTGCTCCATCGTCTGGTTTGTCCTCTCTGTCTGTCCGTCGGTCTGTGGATGGTACGACGACGAAAACTGCAGGCGGGTGCCGTACTGTGCCCACGTCTCCTGCCAGAACTTCGACGTGAATTTTGGGTCGCGGTCGCTGATTATCGCCGATGGCAACCCGTGTAGTCGTACGACGGTCGAGATGAAGAGCTTCGCTGTTTCTTCGGCTGTGATCGTCGTGCGGCATGGTGCGAAATGCGCCATTTTCGTTAAGCGATCGACGACGACAAGTACCGAGTCGTTGCCACTTGCGCCCGCTGGCAGTCCTGTGACGAAATCCATTGTCACCTGTTGCCACGGTCGTTCGGGTGGCTCGAGGGGCTGCAGCAATCCAGCTGGGCGTGTCAGAACATTGTAGCTTATGCTGTTATGTAGGCTATAGTGGGGTATCCCATAGGGGGTACAACCAATTAGGGTTTCATATTTGTACTCACTTCATTTCATAGTTCATTTCATTCTCGTTCTCATTCTCACATGGAATCAGAGCAGGTCCCCTCCTAGGGACTGTTCCTTGGGCCCACCGAAGCGCGCCTCGAGTCGCGCCTGCCTTTTTTTTTAGCGGCCCGTCGAGTCGCACCTAGCGGCCCGTCGCGGCGCCCTTACGGTCGCGTCGAGCCGCCCTAGCGGCTGCGGCGCGCCGCCCTTTTCCCGGCCCGTCGCCGCCCTTACCCGCGGCTTTGCGCCGCCTCTACCTGCGGCTTCGAGCCGCCCCGGCCCGTCGCCGCCCTTACCTGCGGCTTCGCGCCACCTACGGCCCGTCGCCGCCCTTTTCTGCGGCCCCGCCGCCTCTCTCGTTGCGGCCCCGCCGCCCGTCTTCGCGGCCCCACCGCCATCTCTCGCTGCGGCCCCGCCGCCACTCACTGCGGCCCCGCCACCCGTCTCAGCGGCCCCGCCGCCCGTCTTCGCGGCCCCGCCGCCTCTCTCGCTGCGGCCCCGCCGCCTCTCACTGCGGCCCCGCCGCCCTACTCAGCGGCCCCGCCGCCCGACTTCGCGGCCCCGCCGCTTCTCTCGCTGCGGCCCCTCCACCTCTCTCGTTGCGGCCCCGCCGCCCTTCACTGCGGCCC